CTAACGAGCTTAGTTAGTCGAATTAATGAACTAAAGCTTGAAATCATTATGAATTAGATCTTTGGATCTCGCTAGAGCTTAATTGTAGCCATTAAAAAAAAATTGATAAAAAAAATCATAAAAAACTTCTAGTTAGGGTTTCGAAGTTGAAAAAAATCCTTGCTACTTTCTAAAGTATTTGGTCTCCTTGCCATTTTTCATCACCGTTACAAGGAAGAGAAGGTTGTTGAGGTGGTGGTGCACGATTTTGATGAAGTTTTAGTTATCAATTTGATCGAAATTTATCAATAAGAAAGAAAGAGAGTTTGGGTTTTTCAATTTATATTTTTACCTTTAATTGACATTTCTTTTAACTTTTTAAACTTTTTTTCGATTTATACCTAACTATAGGTGAACTTAGAAACCTATTTATCTAGTTTCATCCCTTTTAGATAAAGTTGTGTTGTTTGTCTAGAGATTTCTTTGTTCCTATGTTAGATTAGTCTAAAATTGAAAAAAAAAGATTAAATTTAGTTAAAATAGAAAAGGATAACTTGTGTATTTTTAATTCCTTTTTTTTTCTTTTGTTTTTTTTTTTTACATAATTCTTTTCTTAATATTTTTATTCACCCATCTTTTTTTCACTTGTTTTTATATATGGTTATTTTCACTCAAGAGTTAAGAAAATCATAAAACTTATGAAAGCTCCCATAGGTCCTTGGATTGAAACCGGACTCGATACCACGTCCGTAACACCTTCGACTTAGGATCAAAATAAGTTGAGGATATTACCATTGTGCCTCACGAGTGAATGTACGACACAAGGTATTATATCCTTCCTATGGTTTTATTAGGTATGGTTTTAGCTACGAAAATCTATTAAATACTAATAGGTTTAACTCTCATTACAAATTTCAGCCTAAAATGCACTATTAATTTTTTAAAAAAATTTTATTTTAATAGTTTAGACTGAAATAAATGGGTCCATGTCTCTCTCGTGTTGTCAAATTATTTTTCTATTAGCTAGAATAAATTTATCGAGTCGATACCCGTTACTTGATAGTCTAACATTTTTCCTTCATTATTAAACGTCTTTTTCATATCATCCTCCTTCATCTTCAACCGATGATATCGAGACTGGAGATCGGTCTTGAAGAAAAAGACATACATTTTAAAAAATCAAATAAATATAATAAAATCTTCAATTTTTGATATTTTTTGATTTTGGAAAAATCTTGTAAAAATAGAAAGATTAAAATCAAGTTATGAAAATGGTTATGCCACTTATATAACTACTCGTTGAGCAATCGTAGAGCATATTTCCTAAGCTTGCTCCAACCAAGCTAACAAAATCCATGTCAATTAGATGTAAGTCATCTTCGACTTTAACATAGCCAATCACTTTCCTCTTCTTCGACTCTTTAAACACATAATAAGTGGAATAGAATGATATTTTAGAATTAAAAATAGTCGATTGCCCGTGCTATGCTCGTAGATCCGGTAGACTAAAATCATTTTAAATTTTTTTAATTATAATTTTTTATTTAGTTATTTTTAATTCTTTTTTATAAACTTTTTGCTTAAAAAAACATAAATAATTCTTCTTTATGGATTGATTTTAAAATAAAAAATATAATAATTTTAACTAAAATATAAATTAAGAATTGAAAAAACCTTAAAAATGTAATTTTCATAATATTTTGTATTCCAAAAAATAAAGTTATAATTAACGGACAAACTTTTACAAAAATTAATAATAATAAAAATTCTTATTTAATGTTGATGAGAAGATTGAATTTTGAAATTATATGCATAATGCTATAGGTAAATAATTCAAAATCACTTCAAATTTTCAAAATTTTTTCATTAATTTTTTATTTCATTATAATTTTTTTTTTGGTGTTTTCTACATAAAATTCTTATATTTTTTTTATTCTTCTTTATTCGAGAATTCTTAAATAAAAACTTATAATAATTTAAAAATTAAATAAAAACTTATAATAATTCAAAAAAATACTTTAAAATTATATATAGTTTTTATAAGAATGTATCAGAAAAATAAAGTTATAATTAATGTGTAGACTTGCATAAAAATTAACCAATGAAAAAATGAAATTTTATTGTTATTTAATGTTGGTGAAAAGATTTTTTTCTTGAAGTATATGCATTTGATCTATATATATATATATTTATTTACAAAATAATCAATAAAATTAGCAGAAGAAACTACATTTGAATAATTGATTGGTTCCTTTAAAAAATTATTTTAATTATTTTATTTCAATTAAATTGTTTCTATGAAGTTAAAAAAATTCATAGTAAATAATTTTTATTATGTTGGAAGATGTATAATTAATTTTTAATATAAAAATAAGAATAAAAATTAAATTGATGTGAATTTGTATAATAAATGGAAAAGATCAATTTTAAATGATTAGAATAGTATATATTTATTCTAAAATCTAAAAACATATCGTATATATTATGTAATTGTCGGTTTATGTGGAAAAAAATAATTACGTTTGAAGATTTATGGTTAATTTTTAATATAAAAATAAGAATAAAAGTTAACTTAATGTGGATTTTTATAATAAATTGAAAAGATCAATTTTAAACAATAAGAATAGTATATATTTATTCTAAAATCTAAAAACATATCGTATATGCATTTGATATATATATATAATCAATAAAATTAGCATAAAAAACTATATTTGAATAATTGGTCGGTTCCTTTAAAAAATTATTTTAATTATTTTATTTCAAATAAATTGATTCTATAATGTTAAAAAATATTCATAGTAAATAATTTGTATTATGTTGGAAGATTTATTGTTAATTTTTAATATAAATAAGAATAAAAATTAACTTGATGTGAATTTTTATAATAAATTGAAAAGATCAATTTTAAACAATAAGAATAATATATATTTATTCTAAAATCTAAAAACATATCATATATATTATATAATCGTTATTTTATGTGAAAAAATAATTATGCTTGGAAGATGTATGGTTAACTTTTAATATAAAGATAAGAATAAAAGTTAACTTGATGTGAATTTTTATAATAAATTGAAAAGATCAATTTTAAAAAATTAGAATAGTATATATTTATTCTAAAATCTAAAAACCTATCGTATATATTATATAATTGTCGGTTTATGAAAAAAAATAACGAATGATTTTTTAAAATTTTAACACCCAATAAAATAAAAAAAGAATACAAATTGATGGAAAAAATCAAAAGAAAATATTTTTTGTTAGATTAATTGCATTTTTAGTCCATCTACTATTGATATTTTCATAATATGACCTTCCACTCTTTTTTTATTTATTTGGTCCCTCTATTCTATATGTTTTCTTTTTGCCACTCTTTTCGTAAGATTTCATTAATTTTTTGAGGGAAAATTATATAATAAGTACATCAAATTTGAATATTTTCTCAATTGAATACATTAATTTTTTTTTCATTTATGTACATTACCTTTTTCGAAAATATCAATCAAGTTTTTTTGTCTAATTTTTTGTCTAACGATGATGTGAAAATTAACATAGAAAACTAAATGACTAAATTGCCCTTTTTTCTTTTCTCATCCTAAATTGTTATTATTATTTAATTATTAATTAAAAAAAAAGCAAAGTATTTGTTTTGGTATCTTTTTTTTATTTTTTAATTAAGCTATTTTTTTCTTTTTTAATTAATAATTAAAAATAATAACAATTTGGAAGAAGAAAAGAAAAGAAAAAAATATATAGTCATTTAGTCTTATTTGTTAACTGCCACATCATTACTAAATAAAAAATTAAATGTAAAAGCTTGATTGATATTTTTAAAAAAATTAATATACTCAAGCAAAAAATAAAAATAAAAATAAAAATTCATATACTTAATTGAGAAAAAAGTTTAAAATTGATGTACTTATTATGTATTTTTCCTAATTTTTTTTGGATAATAAGTGATGAGTGGATCGACATGTCAGCAAGTTGACACGTTGCAAAAAATTATATTTCAAATATAGGGACTAAATTGTAAAACATAAGACACATTAATTAATTTTAAAACCATAAGAGCTATTTTATTTGTTTGGTAAAACTAGAAAGACTAATTTATGATTTACTCTAATCCCTTGAATTAGATGTATGAAATGAAAAGACTATGTTTTAGATAAAAGTTAATTTTTTCTCTTTCACATCCTTCTAGTGCCTATTTTAATTAATTAATTTATATTTTAGTTCATTTGTTAGGCTTGAGTTATATAATGGAGATAATTTCTTACATTATTTATTAATTAAGTAAACTGAAATCATTAAAACTTAAATCTCCTTTATTAAAAAAAAAGTTATCGATAATAGTTAAGTTAGCTTTTGCTTGTGTAGGCCAGGCCTAATTCGAATTCTTATTATATGATCAACTTCGATGATAGCATTGAAGCCTAAAGGGGAAATTAAGTAACTAAACACATTAAATAAAACATCAAGGATAGAATTATAGGACATTAAAATTTCAGGGGCTAAAAGTTGGATTTAGCTAATGAAGTACCGAACTGGTCTTGGTCGTCTCATGTATAGACGATTCACAAGCACTTAAATGCAATAACTGGTGAGGTTATTGTTGAGGTGGTCTGGTTGGGTTTTACAAGGTAAGGCTTCTGATTCTGCCTCATGTTTGAAGATAACATCTGTTGTGGGTTTTTGATATTTTGCGGTGTCTAATGAAAATTTCAATCATTCAATGACTTTTCTTTCTTTTAATTAATGTTGAGTTCTGTTACTATATGTTGTGATATCAAGAGGAAATTTCAAGCGATAAAAATAAAAAAAGAAAGGGATTTAATTTTGACATCCAGAGTATGTGTGTGACTTGCAGATGAGGATATTCATATTATGAATCGATTATTTTATAGGAGATGGCAAGGGCATTTGCATTTTCATTTGGTGTTGGGAATTGGTGGAGCCATTCCAAAACTGTCGTTCTAATTTGGTGTATTTGCATCTTCTTCTACATCTCTTTCTTCCATATGGCTCTCCACAATTCGTCTTCTTCTTCGTCTTCAGGTGAATATTCTCTCTTACTTCAAGTTTGGTCTAGTTAGTATATCAGAAATAGTTTAACACAATTAATGCATATCATCATTTCTTTCATGAAGATTGAGTTTACAGTGTGCTATAGAATAATGGGGTGACATTAATTTTGGGAAATGCATGCATTAGATTCAAATACGGAGCAAAGGTCAAGATTGTATGATAAAATGGAAAGGGATTTGGATGAGCGTGGAGCAGCTTTCCTCAAACATGGTGAAACATCTCAATCACTGTCGCTTTCAGATATTTTCACCCTCAAAGATGGATCTGTAACACCTGTGCTTAAGGTAACTTGTGGGTGAATTGAGTTTAACTAGTTTAAAGTTTCAGTTCTTCTTTCCACTGTTTTGAAAAGTGAATAATGGCTTCCTTTCTGTATACAGGTTGCAAACCCTCCTGTCCGGGCTAATGTTTTGTATCTTAGCCCAGAATACTCGCTGCCCATCTCGTAAGCATTTACTTTTGTTTCTCATTCCTTTTTATTTTGGTTTATTGTTATTCCTAAGATCCGCAAATTGTGAATTAGACGTAATGTAAACCTTAGGCCATAAAACTGCAGCAAAACAAATATGTTTTAGCCATCTCAGTAAATAAAACATATGAGTGGGAATTTAATATGTTAGCAAAATATGTCCACTTTGGGCCTTAATGAAGCATTTGCTCATGCGTTCCAATCTTAAATGTTGATGAATTTTATTCTCTTGACACTGTTCGTGGATTCCTTTTAACAGACTTGCCCTTGCGCATCAACTGTGTAAAATATAATGTGATGGGATGAGTTTATTCAATTTAATATCAATTGTCCTTTTCTAAGCCAGTTGAGTCTCTGCGTACAATCCACTTCATGTTTTCTGTGCTATGTATCTTATCAGATATTGTTTTCTTATCCCTCGTGATTAGCTTGATTAACACTTCCTGAAGTAGATTTCCTTTAAGGGAAGAAATACACCTTGTGGAGGAGATTGTCTTTCCATTTCAGATGAAGCGTGCACTTGTCTCTGAATTTTCTTGCCTATAAAACAGAAAATCTTAGGAAATGCAGGATCTTGACAACTGAGGCTGTGCTCTTAAAAGTTATTTAACTAAGAGAGAAAAAAGAGATGCCACATGGAGAAGGCATTACATGTATGTTGCCTTCATGGATTTTGGGCAACGCATATTTGTTTGCAGCAAGGAAATTGCTCCTTTTCTCTTGTTTGAACAATAGATGATAACCACCAAAAACCTACAATCCTTATGGTGCCATGCAAGGTCCAGCTTCTATGAGCTAATCGGCCTTTACAACCATGAGAAAACAAGGTGATTTGATAAGCTTACGATATCTGCTCAAGTTAGTGTCTAAGCTAGTTAAACTTCATTTCCTAAACCTTGACTAGAACTAATTAGTTCCTCATGTCTAATTCATCTAGAAGTATGGTTTGTGGCGGAACATTTTGGATGGTTTCAACAATAATTCTGGAGTTTTTTTATCATTTCCCTGTGACATTCATTTTTGGTTATGAATTGCCTGTATGGGTATTGACATAACAATGCCATCCAGTTATATTCAGTCTTGTGCTGTCGTTGTTGTGAACTGCTGCTTACATGTAGATGTAAACCTGGTCTCTGTAGGTCTATTTAACAACTGATTTGGGAAAAGATACATAATGGAATGCGCTTACAACGTAAATCAAAAAATTTCAACACAAATTTTCAAAACTAAGTCTGATTGAATAAACCGAACAGCATGATTTTCAAAAGAAATTTTTGTCTCTTTTTCTTTTTCTTTTCTATTTTTTTGAGATACTGTAGTTGGATTTTTAAATCGATATAATGTTCATATTCTACAAATTTGTGATAATTGGTGTATTTTCTGTCTTACCTTCTGCATTTGTTGACATTTCGGTTTTCCTACTTTGATCAATGCCCTAAATGATATAATTTATGATCGGCTTTGCACAGGGACAATGTAAAGAATACATTTAATTCATACTTCGATAAAGGTAAGAAGTTAATTGGCCTGTCAATTCATATGTTAATGCCATTGTTGGAGTTTGTTTTAATATTTAAATTTACATGAAAGCAGCCACCCTTGGCATTTCCAGATTTGTGTATTGTCTTCCTGTTGTGTTATCTCCTTTTTGAATCCTTACATGTGCTTTGGTTAGCAATTTGGTTTCAGAACTCTAGTGTATACCATTTTAGCATGTTTCATGCCTCGCATCATATTGAACCTGTTCCAGCCACTGAAAATGAGGTAAATTGTCTTTAGAACTATTTCATGGGTCTTTTCACTTCCTTTCATAATATTAATGTCTTGAATCCTCTTTTGTTTTGTCAGATTGAAGCTGAAGCAAATGCCGTCAAAGCTGTTGCAGACTCTCTCTGCCCCTTAAAAATTGTCTTGGATAGAGTGGTTTTGACTTCAACTGGTGTTCTTCTGGGATGCTGGCAGGTTGCTTTCAGTGACTTTCATGTCTCTCCTCCTCTCTTCGCCTTCTTGATGAATTGGAGCATTTTGCCCCATAAAATCAATTTATATTTTGATTCTTTTAAAGTTAGTCAGTCTGACCTTCTTTGGCTATCCAAGAAGCCGATTGTTTCTCAATGCTTCTCATTACAATGGTGATTTTGATATTCAAACCTCTTGGAATGGTCCCTTTTCTGTTCTTAAACAGTGTTGAAGGGATTCTTTAGTGGCATGGAAGTTGTTATCATATTCAAAATAGTGGATCCTTCCCAACATACGAAACATTGAGGCTTGGCTTTTGATATTTCTGAACCTAGAAAGCAGATATTTCTAAGAACAAAAACCTTCAAAATGAAAGGAACAAACTATTGATTTTTTCATCATTGTTGGTATCAATTCCTTTCTTTTTTACTTTCTGGCTTTAGAGTGAGAAAATGATTTAAAATTCTTGTGTTGTTTTCCACTCAATGGTCTGGATAACTTTTTGGCCTGCTTCCCTCTTTTTCATCCTTCAAATAGCTTTTTTATTGTTCAAGCTAAACTAAAAAACGTGAACAACTATCTTCCTTTCTCTGTATGAGTTGATGTTTTTTTCCTCAAACATTCTTTTTCTATAACTGCATGCTTATTATTATTATTATTATTATTGTATTAGTTGCTTTTTATTTGGTAGATCAATTAGATAGGTAAATCACTGCATTTTAAGCCCCATTATTTGTTTGAACATTTCTTAAATAGCATCTATATACACGAAAGTTGAAAAATCATTTTGAGGATCTAGTAAGTAAAGTATAATTCAGACCACTGCTTTGTTACTTTTTGTAGGTGATCTCTGGAACAGATCCCTTAACCATTCGGGCTAAACTGAAAGCTGCACTTCCACATGCGCCAAAGAAGCAACTCGTAAGAACCTTTTGAATTTCTTACTAACTATTGGACTATCGGATTTCTTATTCATATTGTTTGGTGGAACACATGTCAGCCTTGGCCTTGCGCTTGACTATTAGTACTAATTCGCAGTCATCTGTTGTGTAGTATGATGCTGCTATTCTACACACATCATTTGCAAGGATTTTGGGTCACCCTAAAGCTTCTCCCATGGTAGTATATTAAATATCTGATGGTTTTGTCTTGTTCAATTGCCTACTTTGGTTTCTGCCCATAGTAACTTATTTCAAACATTGGAACCATAATTAACCAGGAAAATCATGCCATGTGTTCTTCTTTTCTACCTTTTAAGAAGCCTTTGAAATGAATGTTGTCATACCACTATGGACTTTACAATAAAGTTCCTTCTATGTAAGCAATCCTGTGTTTCAACAATTTACATGAAATGGTTTCTTTCAAGATTCCAACCTTTCTGTTTCCTTTGTGGTCATGATGTAAAGGCATACTTATGCCCTGTTTAAGTGCACATGCTTAGAGAAGATAGTTTTGCTAATGTTCTCATTCCACCAATCATGTCATCATTTAAATGATCGGCTGCATACTTGAATTGTTATTATCTGTACTCTTCTAACTTGCTTTACTGATTGTCGTCCCACACAGAAGCCTTCAGATGAACTCCGATTTTTATATGAGCTTGTTGCAAGACTAAATGATAAAATCCGTGGATTTGAGGTATGTCGGCAGTCATAGGCTGTGTCTTTCCCCTCCTTGTCTTTCTTTGGACAAATGATGGCATTCTTTTGTGAATATCATTCAGGCAGTTGTTTCTGAACTGTGGTATGTGGAGGAATATGATGTGTTGGCGCTTGCATTGGATGGAAGAATGAAGGTCCGCAGTTTCAAACTCGGTTGCAGGAGAACCTAAGGTTTCATGTTCACAGATAACAGTGAAAAGCAATGAAGCAAATTTACCAAACGAATCAGCTCCAGACTTGTATACACTATACACTAGACTATGGACCGCGCTTTGTAATCACCGTTTTTATGAAGCTTCTAGATTTCAGTATCTTTTATGAGTGCTGTAGTGAAATTCCTAAGGTTTATGACACGCTACACCTACAATCTAAATCAATAAGATAATTCACTCGAATACTGGTATGGTAGTAATAAATATTACTTCTTGCCCATTTATTTTCTTTCTTTCGTTGTTCCATTTGTACGCATTTGGCTGTCAATTCCCTTTCCAAATGATATTAATTTGAATTGCCAATCCTTATAACTTAGCTGTGAGTGTTTTGTTTGGCCAAATGTTACTTCAGCCCCTTTGCTACTCCAATGCATATACTAAAATCTTGATACTGTAAAATGGCAACTTCATGCTTGCTTTTGTTTTGCTATGAAAAAAAAGAAAAAAAGAAAAAAAGATTGTTAAATTGGCGTAAAAAAATATTCCATAATTTCATAATTCGGCTTTTTTACTGTTGTGATCTTGCAACTCTGATGAAATTCCATTAAGCTTGAATATGAATTACATCAACAAGGAGCTGGATCGATGCAAAGCAGATTTTCCTCTACCCAAATATGCTCTTTATCCAATCTAAAATGCCATTTCACTTGAAGCATGAGCCACCTTATTAGAACATCTAGGAGAAAAGCACAAAAAGATGGCCTATGGAGAGTATATATCTTCTGCAGTCTTACCAACCTCAGAGAGCAAGCAAGAAGGCAATCTCATGGCATGTGCAATCGATAAGCAGTCCATTTCAGCTTTCACGAATCAGCTTCCTGTACCTTGCCCACCTCCCCCTCCCCCTCAACATCATACCAAAACATGCAGGTACATCCACGACTTCTCCCTTTTCATGACCTTCTCCACCAAGCTTTTTCTTGAACGGGCATCAAGCAATTGAACCATATTCTCATGTGACGAAGGTATGAGGTCATTAAGTCAACTTCAAATTTCATCCTTGTGCTCTGGTGGATGATAAATCTTCTCCAACTGTCGTAATCTGATTCAGTAGTTTTGCACTTCTGCCTATGTCTGATCAATTTGAAACGAACTCGTGAATTTGGAATGAAGCACATTCATATATCCTTTTCTTTTGTAATAAGATAAATGCATATTTATGTCTGAACAAATGACTTAGTCAAAAATTAATGGAGAATTATCTCCGTTAGTCGGGATGAATCTGGATGGAACTTGGGAAATATAGCAGATGAAAGCTCAATATGAGAAACACGGACAGCACCAATTAACCGCTCTGGCAATTCTTCTGCAGTGTTTGCCTGTAAACATGGGAAATTAAAAGGAAAATTATAAAATTACAACAGATCCCAGATAAAAGATGTAGTATTTTCTGTCCATGCATCGCTATATATGCATAAATCTCAAAGCACAAGAACAGATAGCATCAATACCATACCAGCAATTATTAAAAATGCAGCCAGAGTCATACTCCCTGTTCCCACATTCATAGGAACTACTTTTAGCCCCACTTGAATGTGAGCAAGGGAGCATTACAACTATGCAGAACATGAAAGGAGTACACATAAAATGGCATCAGTAACAGGTGCAGAGAAGCATATAACATGAAAAAGACATCCAAAGTGCGTTCTTTCGTTTCATTTATTTGGTTTAACGTAGTCTTAAAAACAGAGACTAAACGTCATAACTGTTGGATAAGTGTTTCCTATTTCAGTTTTACCTTCCTATTTTTTTCCCACAATCAATTGATCAAATCTCTCTTAAGATTAAAACTCTTTTAAAACCAAATTCGTAGCAAAATCTGGTTTTCCTATTTTCGAAGGGTTGATGAAACTTGTTTCAGACCAATGAACAACCAGATAACTTTTTTCATTTTATTACAACATAGCAGACTAATCCTAGTTCTATTATTAGGCATATTCGTCTTAAACCCAGTAGGTTGCTCACGAGTATAAATGTATTGCCCACAATTTCAGTTGTTAGCCTCCCTGGTCATAAATAATTGAGATGGATCTGCAGAATAGAGGCCATAAATGACACACCTGCACTAGGAAAGCCATGTCAACCACCAGTGCTGTAACTGCACCCATTACAAGCCGCAGAACTCCAGTAGCAACAGCAGAAGAACCGATATCAACATCGACCTACGGATACATAAACCTAGTTATAGACCATGCTAATGTATTGGTCAAGCAACTCCACAGATTGAGAAATTGGATGGTATTTACTTCTAGGTACTTGGGACCACGGATGTAGTTGCAGTCAACTGCTTTTCCCAATAAACATGGGGTGCTTCCAATACTCTGGCGCATAATCCATGAACCCTGCAGGATTCAATATAGAAAGCAACTTAGTCATGCTGAACTCATCACTCTGGCACATAATCCATGAACTCTGCATGATTGAAGATGAGTACCTTGAGAACTGATGGAATAAGCTTAAACCTACTGTTTCGGAATTCATCATCACCATCAACAAATCGTTGCAAGAGCGATCCAGGTACCAATTCCTTTGTTACAAAGTAAAATACCATGCTGTAGTGTGTTGGACCAGGTACCTGTAATAAATACGATAAACCAAAGTGACTGTTTTTTGCAATGCAGCAACTGATTTTCACACCACCTAGTCGAATAAACTTACTTGCAGATTAAAAATCACAGAGAAAAGCCCTCTCTCAGAAGCGTACACATGCATTTAAAGAAGCCCATAAGCATGTCACTGCAGCCTTAAAACAATTAACAACCATAGACTAGCTAAAAAATATTCAATCAGCATGAACATGGTTGACCAAGCTATTTCAACCCTTCAGGATTGATCACATGCAATGATGGTTGAAAGCAGCACTACAACCAACACCAACTTGTTCAAGAATTGAGATTATTTAATAAAGTTCATTAACAGGCAAAAATCAGATTATTTCAGATAAGTGTGTTTTAAAGTGTGGAATGAACGGCACCAAAGAGAGGAGGGAGAGCCCGAGAGGTTCTTACTTGTGCAGCAGATCCTCGACACCTAGCAACATGGTCCATTCTTTTTGTGTCCTTGAACCAATCAACAGCAACAAGATCCATCAAATGTTTTCCTGCAGGAACCTTCATATGCCAGTGCATAGAGTGCAATAAGATGCTGACTTTATGACTCCAGATGTACTTACTCAAAGGAAATGAGGGGAAAAAAAAATGTAGGGGACCTTTGATTTGTCATAACCAAAACGCTTGCTACGAACTCTGAAGTTGTCTCCAACAGATATTTTCCAGCAGTCACGGGCATTGTCACGGTCATCACGATGTAGATTACCAGAAAAACAGGATAAATCAATTTGATCTACTGGTTCTTCCAAGGCTGTTAAATCAAATGTTATTAAATTCCCAAACATTTCCTTATTAGATTAAACTTACAAATGAATAAAACAAAGAAATGTCGCAGCTATCATGCACCTGTTCTCTTTGAGTTGTTCTTATGCTGAGTTAGGTAAGCCTGAAAGTTGGAACGATGAGCAGTGTTTACAATGATGCCCAAGAAATCGTATAAGGGAAGGATGTCAGCCATGTACCTCTACTTCTTCCTCGGCTATTTGACATTCTTCATCCTCATCGGAGTATTCATCCATCAGTAGAGCACTTCCTGTTCTCCTTGAGTTGTTCTTATGCCAGAAAGTTGGAAAAATGAGCAGTGGTTACAATGATGACGCAAGAAATCATATGAGGGCAGGATGTCAGCCATATACCTCTACTTCTTCCTCGGCTATTTGAAATTCTTCATCCTCATCGGAGTATTCATCCATCGGTACAGCACTTTTTTTGACAAAACAGAAGCTGAGGCCATATTGACCATAACTGGGATTCTTGGATGAGCACCCCTTTCATCTCTTTGGGCACACGATTCACGTAGTCCTGTCAGAAAAGGCAACATAAACATTAAAAAACCAGAAAAGTAGTGCACTGAGATTGAAGGAGAGTGCTTACTCAATGACCAAACATGAACTAGAAACATCCAGTTAAACGTTTCATTACTTCTTAGCTAATGTCAAAACTGTACCTTTGGCATCAACACTATTCAATCAATATTGAAATTTTTTTTTTTAAAAAAATAAAATTGGAAAGAATTGGTAAACCCCACAAGATATCATATCGATGAGCATAGCAATAATAAAAGGAAACAAACATAAGGAAAATTAGCATGTACTGCCCAACCCCAAACCCAGTCTTCCAGATGAGAGGAAGTAGTTCAAAGCATATGAGAGTGACAACATATGGTGCTGAGGGTTTTTAGCAAACAATATTAGTGTTGTGTCTGTTTGACCTTTCTATGGTTAATAAGAGAAGCAGGGAAACAGGTGCTTCTTCCGCACTCAGCTTTTAATTGTTTTTCTATGATAAAGTGTCAACTATTTTTGCCCCAACACTTCTATTCTAGAAAATGATGGATCAAAAGCAGCTTAACTTTTAAGTGAGTTATAACAGAAGGAACTTACCAGCGATATTATTTAACATCTGAAGAAGACAATGCTGCTGAAATGATGAAATATAACCCACACCCCATCCTTTTAGATCTATCTGCATAATCTGTGTTACCTGTGTTCTAGGTCTCCCATTACGATGTTTCAGATGGGAAATAGAGAAACCTCCACCTGAAAATCACAATGTAGCCAAAAACTATCTAAAATTCTGATGATAGAATCCTAAGCAGAAACCAAAGAAACTGAGCAATTTGGAACTTACTCTCAACATGAGCGCGCACATGACCTGGTTGTGGACCACAGTTTTCATGCTCTCTAGAACGAAATAACACAACTGCACAATAACAAGAAGGTTAATCTTGTGACAAGTTAGAAGATTAAAAGAGATTTGGACAAGCAAAATTTTTTACCATAGCTGCCATCGTCATTTCGCCGCCAATACCGCACGTAGCAAAGGTCGCGGGGCCAAACAAACCTGCAACCCATTTATATGTAAGTGACAGAAGAAGATAATTCATGATTTCTGAAAGGAAGAAAGGAACTTTACTTTTGAAATTTGGATATAGACAATAGTTTTCTGAAACATAGTGAAACACATCCTACTTATTCTTTGTCAATAACAAATGGGTAAGCCCTGACATATTGATGCTCCTAGTTGCAGAGAAACTCAAAACTTCCATAACACAAATAATTACAGCACATATATAAGAAGGGAGAATATATGGTGTAAAAAACTTATTTTGGGTTTGCTATGGTTTTGTTTAGAAAATTTCATGCATGAAACAAGACCAGCAACACTCCATATTGAAATGCATTCATTATTGTGATATAGGCAAGGAAGTGATTTATTAGGGGGTGCGGGAGAGTAGTACATTGGAAACCAGTCCAGCTGAAGTCTATGATAGAGTATTGCTGTGTGCCCATCTACCTCTTCAACTAAACTACCATACTGGAAAGTGGAATCCCACCTGCACAAGGCAAGAAAATTACAATTCATGAATTGTCTAAGTACATGAAGAACAGAGGATAAATCGTATATACCATACAACAATTCCACTCAAGCATTTGCAGAAGTCCTTCATGAATAAGTCATGTTAATAAACCATTGATTAAGAATTAAAGATACAATGCATAGAGGTACAATTTACACCATATTATGCACACAGTAGCTCATCAATCTATTGGGGAAACACACACAACACACATAAGACAGTGACTACACAACCATGCTATTAAATTTTGGGGTGAAAAAGGAAAACACTTACTCAAACCGTGTTCCATCCATGCTCATTACAAGTTCAAATATTTCTTCACAGGTAGCCTTAACAATACCTACAGCCTTCATTGCTCGACTGCAGCTCCTTGGCTGCATCAAGGAAACAATAAATGGTGGCAAGATCAATAGCAGCCTGATAAATTGCAAATCAAAGTCTTAACACATAAAGCAAATGAGCAAATGGTTCCATACAAGGTAATCAACTTCACGAAGCTCTTCAAAAATGCGGAGTCTTGCCACATGTACAGCCAATGAAACTTGAGTATCAATTCATCTATGGCACCGTAACTTACCAGCAATCAATTCCGAGTTCAAGTCTTAAATATGCTTCCTTGAATGTCATTGCTGTATGAACTGCTAAACAATGGAAAAGAGCTACGAGAAATAGGTCACCATTTTGGCATTGTAGAAGACGCCAATGCTGTCTAGAGAATGATTGGTTGTTAGCATTCTGGTTTGGCAATTCTGAGTCGAATTCTTGCGTGGAATCAGGAGGACCTGTCAGTTCATAACAACATGAGATTTGGCGACAGATTGAATAAATAAGTTGAAGTCAATAAGAGAAGGAATCATGAAAACCATTTCCAATGGTTTTTCTCAGCAACAGATTTGTATGAGTGTCATCTTCATCCTCATGTGCACCAAACCTGCAGATAATTCAGAAATCAGGAAAGTACACAAGCATATTTCATCCAGGACTTTCAAGCAGTTGGAGGAGTTGATAAAACTAGCCCCAGTAGCAGTTCAAATTGGAGATGAATCTAACATAAATTGCTGGAAAATTATGGGGTAGAAAATGTCTGGCATAAAATGTGATGAAAACTTTTCAATGAAGACACCTAGAATCACTCAATCAAACTTTTCCTCAAACGAATCCTAAAACCATAACCTTGATCTAGTTAATTCTCCAAGCAATTAATAACCTAAAGTAATTGCATTTCAATATCATCATTAATCACATATAAACTTCACAATTCCAAGATTAATGGATAAAAAATCTTACCTTTGACACTATGCCCTTCTACTCTAAAGTTCTTCCTAGCTCTCCAAGCTTTTTGAGCTTTAAGCTAGCTAAGCTCCCCGTACATTGAGCAACCTATCGAGTATCCGGAATGATGGTGCTTATTGCATGATAATATTTGCAGCATATCATTCATGGTGACAAATATGCCTCATACAATTATGAATCCGGCATGGATAATGAGAGGATCGCTTTTTCATCGGACAATGAGAGTCGGTGAGTACTGTTCTATTTCTCTGCTTGTTTAGGCTGTACAAAGTAGATGCCTTCATAACATTATTTCCTGCTTGCTTTAATAAAGTAAGTTGATCATAACATTATTTTCTCGCTTGCTTTAATAAAGTAAGTTGATATTGGCAAACATTATGAAAAACCCGATACCGTTAAGTATCATTTGATGAGAAATGATTTTATGTCCGGGTATTATGTGTGGAGACGTCACGAAGAAAATGATTTGGTCATTTATGGTGACAATTCAATTAATTATGTTCAAAATGAATATTCAAAATGAATAAATATTTGATGATCCTCGACCCAATAGATAACACATAATGGTGATGGATGCAACTGGTCCATCATTTAATCCGTCTAATACAAATGAAGACCCAAACCTTGATGCCTAAGCGTTTTATAATTTGTTAAATGCATCAAATAGAGGAATATGGGCCGATTCGGAAAATCACTTATAGTTATCGAAATTGTCTTGTTTGTTACATCTCAAGTTCAAACATCATTTCTCGAAGCGTTGTTATAATGATTTATGTTAACTTATGAAAGAGTTGATGTCCGCGATAACTCGCATGCTAGAAGACTTTTACGAGTACAAAAAGATTAGTGAAAATGATGGGTTTACCCATTCAAAAGATTCACGAGTTGCATAAATGATTGCATGATTTATTAGGGTGAAGATAACGAGAGAATCACTTGTAAATCTGTGACCATCCTTGATATCGAAATCCTAGGCGACGATAGATTAGAGAAACATATGTCCCATATAAAAAATGTATTATTTTTTGCTAATCCCGTGGTTACGGATGCTCGTATGCATCAACCACCACCTGTCGAAGATATAGCGTGGCATACCAAACATGTAGTTGAGGCGGACGTCATACATCATTGTTTAGACTCTTTCGCATGGTGGCATTTTGATCAAACACATCCTTCTTTTGTATAAAAAATTAGGAATGTGAGATTGGGAGTTTGCGGTAATGGGTTTTATCCTTTTGGTAAATCTGGATAACAATTTTCTTTATGGCCTCGTGATTGTAATACCTTATAATTTACCACCATGGAAATGTATGAAAGAAAAATATATGTTCTTAACTATAATTATCTCGAGTCCTAAAAATCCTAAAATCAATCTAGACTTGTACTTATAACCCTTAATTAAAGAGTTGATTGAATTGTGAGAAGTTGGTGCTCTTACTTGTGATGTGTCTCGTAAGGAGAATTTTCGGATGAGAGTCGCTATCATATGGACAATTAGTGACTTCCCTACATATTTAATGTTAGTGGGTTGGAGTATTGTGGCTAAAACGACATGTCTATATTGTATGAAAAATTCGAAGCTTTCCGTCTTCATAATGGCGAAAAGATTTTCATGGTTTGATTGTCATCGAAAGTTTTTGCCACAAAGTCATCTTTTCAAGCGGAATAAGAATGCGTTCAAGCAAAATTTTGTTGTTATCGACATTGCTCCTCCGATCAAGTCCGGAATAGAAATTTTGCAAGAATTACACTATTGGTGGGTTTTTAAAAGTAATGAAGGAGGGCTCCGAAGAGTGGAACAATAATATATCTAGATTTGTGGTTAAAAAAAACGTAATGTATTCTAGGATCCGTTATATTGGAGTTCTAATTTAATTCAGCATAATTTGGATGTGATGCACATTGAAAAAAATATCTTTGACAATGTGTTTAATACAATTATGAGTGTGTCAAGAAAAACAAAGGACAATGCAAATTCTAGAGAAGACTTGAAGCTATATTGTCGACGACGGAATTAGAAATAAATAAAAACTCTTAAAAATACCCAAAAGAATATTACATTCTAGACAAATGACAAAAAATATAATTACTTGAATGGATAAAATAACTCAAGTTTCTCGATCAATATGTATCAAATTTGACAAGGTGTGTCGATATGAATAACCTTAGATTAGCATGAAAAGTCATGATTGTCATGTATTTATGTAGAGGTTATTACTCGTTGCATTTCATGTCTTGTTATCAAGAAATGTTTGGCACTCATTAATTGAGTTGAGTTTATTCTTTAAGGAATTGACATCTACTGTCATTAAGGTTGAAATATGACCCGCTTTAAGAATCGGATACTCGTAATCCTTTGTAAATTAGAGCATATATTCCCATCTAGTTTTTTTCACTTCATGGAGCATCTTCTATATACTTGGCGTATGAAGCAAAAATAGCGAGGACCGATACAATATCGATGAATATATCCATTTGAAAGGTAAATATATTTATTAATTTTAAAATCGTTATTAATTAACTTTTGAAAAATATTTGTTATGTATAATACATATATAATATTACAAGTACCTTCAAAAATTAAAAAAACAATATGAAGAACAAAGCCGAGTTGAAGGGTCAATATACAATGCCTATTTAGTTAAGAAAGTTTTAACGTTCGTTCATATTACTTCGAGCCTTATGTACATATTAGACATCGAAAAATGCTTAGAAACTTTGATTGTCCTCGAGAACTAAGTGACGATATCGAAGGAATGCTTGCAATAGTTAAACTTAAAGGTAAACCACTTGGTCGAGCAAGATCACATGTCTTAATAGATCAAGAAAAGAATGACCTACATTTTGTTGTTGAACTATGATGAGGTGATACCTTACACGGAGTAAGTGCTATAATTACCAAATTTGACAATATTGAACTTCATTAAGTATCAATCATTTTAATAAAACACAATAAGAATTTTTTTTCTTCCATAGTTATTTGATAACCTAACTTTATCAAAGTAATCCCTACATATTGAAGAATGAGGTAGATTTTTGGCTTGAAACTAATTTTGCATCCTAGTTTCCATCGATATATGAGTATAAAAAATTTCAAATTTCATTTGTTATGAAAATATTTTTATGAAATTTCATACTAACATTAAGTAATAGATCCGAAGTTTATAAGAAAGTAATGCACAACCTAATATGATAACGAGACCATTACATTAAAGATCTTACAAAATGGCTATTATGAATAGCTAAGTCGTATCCAAGATATATTATGAACGAGTATAAGTTTCACACTAAAGTTCATGATTTAGAGAGAGCAACAATGTGTAATGGAGTGTGTGTAAAAGGAGTTAGTTATGATATGATGGAAAATGACTACTACGGTAGGTTGACTAATATACTCGAAACTTGAGTATCCCGCCTTATCAACCAAGAAAACCATATTGTTTAAATGTGATTGATATGATACTACACATGGCATTAGTACAAGAGTTTATGATCATTATGGACTAGTAAAGGTCAATAGTCATAGGACATCAAATAGATCCAATCCCTTCATACTAACAACACAAGCACTTCGGGTATATTATGTAACATATCCTATATCAAAGTGTATCGGACGTGATTGGTTAGTTGTATGTAAGGTAAAACCCACGCTAAAGGTGGATATGCTCGAATCAATCATCCGTTATCGTTTAAACAATTATAAAACGATGTCAAAAAAATGAAATGGAAAGCTAACACAATGTCATCCAAGTTGATGATGACGATGGTCACTTATTGAATGATCCAACTATAGTATTAATGGATTTGGAAGGGAGTGAAATTAATGTAAAGAATGAAGTTGAGTTTGAAATAGATGTTGAAGAAGACTTAGATGAAGAATGTAAAAATGATGACATTGATAGTGATTAGCGATGGTTTTGTTATCTTATATAGATTACTTGTACTTTTCAATGTAACATTTAAATATGTGTGTGTCCATATTGTAATTTATTTATTCTTTATTAAATAAATATATTTAAAATTATTCATGTTAATATCAATGTTATATGTTAGTATTAATTAATATTTTATTTTAATACTAATGAATGTAATAATTAATGTGTAAGTTATAATGCCTCGAGGTAGAGGACGTTCTCGTATGCAATGACCTATGTCATATGGTGAGGGTCGTGATTCGGATATCGATTTTGACGAGTGATCGTAGACATGGATGTCATTATCCTTCCTTTCCTAGTCAAATGGCTCCCCCATAGACATGCCTCCGTACCACCCTTTTGATGTCTCGTGATAAAACCTTCAATGCATGACTTGTCTTAGCTTGAGCCATACCTTTTTGGACCTCCACGTCACCGCCCATCTTTCTCTTTATCATCATCTCGTGCCCTTGATCCAATAGGACAACCATTTTGTTCCTAAACAAGTCTCGTCATAGAGCATCCCTCACATCGGCTTCGGAACCTATCGAATCCATGGTTGATCCTCGAGTTAGGGTCATTATCGTTGGTCGTAATGAGTATGTTTTATGTATAATTTTATGAAACATATTTTTTCTTTATTACCATGATTATGCATTCATTTAATTGTTAAATTAATGCCTACTTTTATAGGTTATATCCTTCGATGTTTGTGCTCGTCGGATCTTTAAGATCTTTCACGAGTATGTTGACATATCCAGATGATCGTGGAAGAACATGAGTCCGAAACAAAAGAATTCTAATGAAAAGAGTTTAAGGTACTATTTTATTTAATTAATTAATTACATTACTTCATATTTACATAAAAAAATCTAATTAAATAT